CAAAGGCACTTAACAGCCTCCTTCAGGCTTCTGAAATAATGACTTTGCCTGTTGTTATTGCAGAAGCTGAAATAGCCACTGGAATGGCAGGAATAGAGATTTTCAGAGAAAATGCAGCACATTTTTGCCAAAAAGACACTTTTTAAGCAGAGCAAATGTGCTTTCCTCCCACCAGGCATTTCCACAGCTGGACCCCAGAAGGTGTTATTGCTCTGAGCCAGTGCTGAGCCAGAAAATCCTTTTTGGATCCTCAGGTGTGTGTGGTGCTCCCAGGGAGGCTCTCCTGGGAAAAAACTTCAAGATCAGGAGAGGTTTTACCTGGAGTATTAGTAACCTGGCCCTTGCAGAGGCCACTAACATTAGCCCTGCCCAGGTGGGAGGATGGTGTTGCTGCACAAGTCCTGCTTTTACTTTTTGGTTTGGTTGCAGGTGCTGTTGGTTCCCTGTGTTTCAGACAAGGTATCAAAGAGGTTTACAATGAAGCACACTCGTATTTGTCCACTGATGCAAAAGAGTCAAATAGCAAAAGTGCATGCTTCCTTTTAAATTAAAAACCCCAAGGCACTCTGAAAGACCAAAAGCAGGATAAAAAGCCAGTTCTGGAAATCTCATGTAGCAGATTTCCAAACCCCTTTGAAGTTGTTTTGGACAGTCTCCAAGCTCAGGTTTGTTGCCTGTTCCAAGGTTTTGCTTTCTGCCCCACTGCCCATCTGCACAGGACCTCTGGCTGTGGGCTGGACTTTCCCCCTATTCCCATCTTAGGAAAAACCTTCACTGCAGAAGACAGTGGGAAAAAATGGGAAATCTGAAGTTTAGCCTTATACCTTTTCCTTAGCTGCTTCAGCCCCGTGCAGGATAATGTGAATTTAAGTTTGATGATTCCCAGTCCGGGTTCTAAGACCATTGCTTTTCCTATGGGTGTCACAACCTTTACATCATCTGAAAGAACAGGTTTTGTGTTTTATGTGCCCAAAGGCTGCCCATAAAGGTTGGCAAGGGCAGTTGGCTAAGTCTGCACAAGGTCAGTGAGGATGTCCAATAATTGTCCTAACACTTTACCTGTTATGGAGCAATAATGAGAGGTTTTTTTCATTATTTTCGGGTGAGTGAGCCTGGCAGATGCTGACAGGCAGCAGATGTGTAAAGTTCGAGGTGATTTGTAAGGGACTGGCTCATCTGACGCATGGTAATTGCATTGTGGGACATTGTCACTCAGCCCCGTGTCCTGCTCCAGCAGAACGAGGTAAAGGTCAGTTCAAAGAGCTGCTGAGGCACCAGGGGCAGCTCAGGGCTGAAATTAAACCCCTCACATCCACTTCTCCCCTGGGCAGGTGCTCACAGCATGCCCAGGGCCAGGTGGGTGCTCCAGGTGTAGATTTGGGGATCGTTTGGGTGACCAGGTGGTTGTTTGGATCTGGAGTGGGCTTAAATCCCTCCTCTGGTAAGGCAGGTGTGGTAGCTCAGTGCTCACCTCTTCACTTTTAATTTGGGGCTAGGAATTTCTTTTTTGTCACTTTTTCCTTCAGTGCCTGTGTGCTGTGGCAGCTCCCTGGCAGAGCAGGCCCTGGTGGCAGAGTGACACATGGCTGGAGGGGACAGTGGCCTCTCCATCTGCTCCCTGCTGCCAACTCTGTTCTGCCATCCCCTCCAAGAAGGGCTCTGACAAGTTTCTTTTGCCACTTCAGCTGAATTTGGCGTTTGTCACACCCTGGAGGGTCAGAAGCTGCTCTGCCTCGCTCAGGTGAAGCTCCCCTGTTCCTGCTCTCAGGGTATAAGCAGTGATGTTGGAAATTGAGTGGATTTGGTGGAAAAAGAGGATTTGTCTGATGCTGAGCCTGCTGATGGCCTCAAACTGAGGGAAGGCAGCCTTAGGATGTCCCAGGTACGTGGGCCGTGCTGGTCCCTGCAGCATGGGGAGCAGTGCTGCCTGTCCACGTGCTCTCATCAGCATCAATTTTCCTGGTGTTTGAGTGGGATCTTTATCACAGCCATGATGTGTGGAGGGCAGCTGAAGGCCTGATTGACTGGGTTTCCTGGGTGTGCCTGTGCTTCTGTAATGGACCTGCTGATAAATCTGTAATACGCCAGGGATCTCGATAAAACCTGTGTCTTGTATTTCATCTCCTGCTGCCTCATTCTTCTGCTCTTGCAGGTACCTAATCCCATGCTCCTTATCTCATAGGACATCACATCACAAATCTTGTTCTTTATTCTTCTCTTGACATCTCCACACCTGCCAGCAGTGGGAATTGCAGTGCTTTGCCTTGCTTTGCTGGAAGTGTGAGCAGTGGGTCAGTTCAGAGGCTGGAGGTTTCTCTTGAAGCTTTGCAGCCCTGCAGACTCACTGAGCAAAGCATCCCACTTGTGGGACACAGACCTTCAAGCCGCTTCTTTTAGTCTCTCCACGTGCAAAACCTGCCAGGCCAGGGATACTGAACGAGAGTTTTGCTGTAAATGTGATTAGAGGCAGGTTTTCCCCCATGTAGGTAAAAGCTCTCCCTAATTATTTAAGCTCTGAGTTAACAGTTGTTTGTTGGCCTGCAGTCTCTGCTCACATCCCTGTGCTGAGCATCCAGGGGTGGATTCATCCCAGTGTGTGAGATACTGAATGTACAGGTGAGCGTGGCTGTTCTGTGCAGGATTTGGCAGAGTTTACAGGGCTCTTTTCAGAGATGCTAATTGGGAAGGAAAAGGTGACTTTTCATTGGAAAGGTATTTTTGTAGCAACAAGTCTTCTCTAGAGTTTTGTGGATTTTTATTTCATTCAGTGTTCCAGGATATTTTTAAAAGTCCTTTTCATATGGCACCAGAGGACTCACAATTTTTTGTCCAGCCTGGCCTCTTTGTAGACCTGATCCTGAGCATTTCCTGAGCTCATTTGTTGGGGTGGTACTTGCTGGTGGCCACAAAGGCATGAACTAGTCTGGGATGTGTCCAGTCTCCTGCTTTGCTCCTTCCTTTCAGAAGTGTCACTCTGGTTTCCATCCAAAATGCTGAGAAAGAAGTAAAATTTGTAGAACAGGAAAACTGAATCTGTGCTTTCACCAAGCTGACCTGTGAGGGTGCTGCTTTGTCTGTGCAGGTCTGTGGTTGGTGTTGTCCCTGGATTCATTATGTTGACCTTTAGGAAGAGAAAAAGCAGATTCTAATTCAGCAAATGTCTGCTTCTAGGCAGTTGTGATTAATGGGATTTTTTTTTTTTTCATCTAAGAGTGTGCAGGGGGACTTTGCACTTAGAATAATTTTTTTTTACCCATGGCACACTCTATTAAAGTTTGTTGTGTATCCAAATTACACTGCTTTGCTTTTTAACTCCAGCTGAAGCCGTGTCTCAAATAACAGATGTGGAATATTGTCATCCCACTGTCACACCGATTGCTCATTGTTCTGAGAAGGTCACATCATAATTCATTAACAATAATTATTCCCTGGGTACACCCTGCACTTCTTCACTCAATTGCTCCATTAACTTGAGAGTGAATCTCACATTCAGTGCTCCAATCAATGAAGATATATTTATAATGTACAAGTGGGTGATATTAGTTACAATATATTAACTGCCTAATTTAAAAGAGAAAAGCTATCTTTATGAAGGGCAATTAACCACTAAGTGTAATTGATAATTCACATATCTATGATTAGGAAAGACAAATAATAAGAAAGAAATTGATCACCAGCATTATTAAAGAAGACACTGGTGTGCAGTTTTGATGAGCAGAAGGTGCTCTCTGGGTCAGGACCAGATTTCCAAGAATCCTTTGATGGAGAGTTCATCCTCAGATCTGTTGTCTCGAGGTGGCTTTGGTGTTTGCACCAACCAAGTGAGATCATCTTCCCTACAAAATGGACCCAGCATGTTTTGTTGTCTTGAGAATCAGTGCAGGGACTTCCTTAATAGGAAAGTCCTTTTCCATTTTAATGCAAAGAAGAGTCATAATATTTTATAAAAATTGATAAAACTGGTTCCAGATTTACCTAAGTATCTGAATCTACATGTGCTCAGGTCCTCAAAGATGATTTTGCACAAATTCACATGAAAACTGACAAAAAGTGGGCATTAGAGGAGCTGAGCGAAAGTCCCTCAGGCAAATGTTTATTTTTTATTAATTGTGGTACATTTTCAGTGCTTCTGATTTTCTGTGGCCACTTTGAAGTACATTGGGTCTCCAAACAGCTGACAGCTCATCCTTGGGGAAGAGGCTTTTTGGGGACATCCACAGCAGGTCACCAGCTTGGGAAACAGCTGCTCAGAGGCAGAGGGTTTGCAGGGGATTCACAGAGTGGTTTGGGCTGGAGGGGATCTAAAAGACCCCATTCCACCCCCTGCCATGGCAGGGACACCTTCCACTACCCCAGGTTGCTCCAAGCCTGGCCCAACCTGGCCTTGGATGCTTCAGGAATGAGGCAACAACGCAACTTTTGCAGAGTACCAGTCCACAGGAGCCATGTCCTTGGCTCTGGACACTCGTGGCCATGTTTTCTTCCCCTGAGAAGACTATTACCTGTAAATATTTATTAATGAATCAGTTCAAGTGCCATATTTTTTGGGATTATCCACCAAGTAACAGCACAGGTGTTTTATGAGAGATTTAATGATAAATTTGACTGGATCCACCCCAGTGTTGATAAAACATCATTGAACTAACTGGCAGCTGCAGTGCCCAGAGTCAGGATTTCAGGTGCATCCAGTCACAGCAAAGGATCCTGCTCCTGGTTCGGAATATCATCTTCACCTTTTCAGCAGAATTCACAGAATCACCAGGCTGGAAGAGACCTTCAAGATCATCAAGTCCAACCCGCCCCAACACCTCATGGTGTTGCCTCATCCAATCTTTTATCAAACACACCCAGGGGTGGTGACTCCACCACCTCCCTGGGCAGCCCATTCCAGAATTTTATCACCCTTTCCACGTAAAACTTTTTCCTGATATCCAACCCCTTGCCACGGCTCGAGTCTTGACGCGAGTCTCATTTCCTTCATCCGCTTATCTCCTCCACAGGATCAAAGCCTCTGGGCTGAAGCTGCAGCTCTGCACCAACGAGACGCAGGCGACGCGGGAGGATTTTGCGCGGAAGCTGTGGGCCATGGGCTTCGAGGTCTCGGCGGCCCAAGTGACGGCGCCGGCGCCGGCCGCCTGCCGCCTCCTGCGGGAGCGCGGCCTGAGGCCGCACCTGCTGGTGCACGATGGTGGGACAGCGCTGCGGGCACAGGGAGAGGGGGAAATGCTGTTTTACCCTTTGTTTTAGCATAGATGAGTGGGTGTCTTGGTTTGAAAAGACAGGAGTCTGTGAAGGAAGGCAAAAGCCTCCTGTGAA